ATCTGGTGGGAGGGAACGCAGGGCCTGGATGAGGTTCCTAAGGCTTAAACTCTCTGGTGAGTTCAAACCCTCAGGCAAGCACTGAGGCAATCTTAAAAGTCCTGTGGTCTACTCTCATCACACATCTCCCATCCTGAGGGATGGCTATTCGATCATTGTATAAGTGAAACCCAAGCACAAAAATTTGTAAGTCTACAACTGTACCTCATGGTGTTTCACTAGTAAAAATTTAAGGGGGGAAAGAAAAAAAGAATCTCCTCATCGGCCACCGTCCAGATCACACGGCTTTTTCTCCCAGATGGGAGCAACATGGTGCCCTCCATAGCCATGACACTGGACTCTGTGCCAGGCTGTTTCACTCGGGGGGGGGGGTATCTCAGAGGGGGGCAGGGGAGCAGGTGAGAGCCCTCCCTGCCCCAAGGGACCCAGCCTCAGTAGCCGAAAACCTCCAAAACCCAATTAAAAAAAAAAAGTCCTATGGTAAGGAATCTGCAGTGAGAAAGGGCCTGAAAGGTAGTTCAGTGATATCGAAAGTACCCAGGCAAACATGAGGTGCTCTGTGTGTGTGTGTGTGTATATGTGTGTGTGTGTGTGTGTGTGTGTGTGTGTGCATGCTCTGAGACAATGCTGAAGGTCCCATTGTCAGGGGTTCCCAGGAAGGGACAATTACAAAACAGAAGAAGCAGACAGGAGCTGAAGTAGCACAGTGGGCAGAGCGTTTACCTTGCATGCGGCTGACCAGGGTTCTATTGCCAGCTTCCCATATAGTAGTCCCTCAAGCACTGCCAGGAGTAATTCCTGAGTGCAGAGCCAGGAATAACCCCTGTACATCGCTGGGTGTGATCCAAAAACAAAACAAAACAAAACAAAACAAAAGCGGACAGTGGCTGATCCAAACTTTAGCACTGTAGCTCTGTCCTCCTGTTGTTCATTGATTTGCTCAAGCGGGCACCAGTAACGTCTCCATTGTGAGACTTGTTGTTACTGTTTTTGGCATATCAAATACATCACAGGGAGCGTGCCAGGCTCTGCTGTGTGGGCAGGGTACTCTCAGTAGTTTGTTGGGCTCTCTGAGAGGGACTTAGGAATTGGACCCGGGTCGGCTGCGTGCAACGGAAACGTCCCACCCGCTGTGCTACTGCTCTAGCCCAGTCCAAACTTTACCATATAATAATTTAAAAAGAAAAGACCACACAGCAATAGAAGAAATGGACTACTGATAAATGCAGCAACTTGAATGGATTTCACAGGCATAACGTGTGAAGGGAGTTAATCTCAAGTGGTGACAATTATATGGCTCCTTTTGCATGACCTTCTCAAAAACATATGAGTCAAAGTGATGTGGAATCCCTTGTTTCCAGAGGTTAGTCATGGAGACAAAGTACAAGCAAAGGGTAGCAGGGAAGGCAATGGGGTGGGGGTGAGGGTAAGAAACTGTCCTGTGTCGGAGGAAGCATGAATCTAAGTCTTTGTTAACGTTCATGAAATTGAAGAACAAAAGGGGAAAATATCAACTTTACCATATAATAATTTAAAAAGAGCTTATAAAGATTATAAAGGACCGGCTGGGGCTGGAGCAATAGCACAGCAGGTAGGGCGTTTGCCTTGCACGCGGCCAACCTGGGTTTGATTCTCAGCATTTCATATGGTCCCCTGAGCACTGTCAGGAGTAATTTCTGAGTGTAGGGCCAGGAATAACCCCTGTGCATCGCTGGGTGTGGCCCAAACAAGAAAAAAAAGATTTTAAAGGACCTCATTATTCTTCTACAAAGATTTATTCATTTGTAAATCACCCAATATGATTTATTCATTTTTAAATCGCTCACTCCTCAAGCATAGAAGTCCAAAAAAGAAAGGAGAGAGAAGTTTCCACATGGTGAACCCATGGCCAGGGGCTTCACACAGCCTCGTGTATTGTTATGCAAGTGAAGCCTGCAAAACAGGGAGGGCTCACAAGGAGTGGGGCAGCCCCGTGCAGTCTGGAGGCAGGTGGGAAGGGGCGATCACAGTCCCCACAAGCACAGGCCTCTAGCCGGTGGGCCAGTCCTATCTCCCTATCTTTGCTTGCAGCTCCCACTGAAATTCCATCCATCACTGCTTGTAACTAATTTCCTTCCTTTCTCTCCCTCCCTCCCTCCTTCCTTCCTTCCTTCCTTTTTTTCCTGGGTCATACCCAGTGATGCTCAGGGGTTACTCCTGGCTCTGCACCAGGAATTACTCCTGGCAGTGCTCGGGGAACCACATTGGATGCCTGGGATAGACTCCAGGTCAGCAGCGTGTATGGCAAACACCCTGCTGTACTATCACTCTGGTCCCAGTAGAAATATGTTTAATTGAATAAATACATATAGGGGATAGAGACAATCTCTTGTGCAAAAGAATTCTAAATAGTTTACACAGACACTTAATCCTTAGTGGTGAGAAGAACCACAGCTTCTCATGATTTACATGTGGGCTGTGGATTGACCAAAGTGTGCAGTATGCAGAGGAATAATACTACAGCACAAATGCTCTACCCACTGTACTATCGCTCTGGCCCTCAGTCACCGCTTTGATACATGCAATATGCAGGCTTTGCTAACTAACATTTGAGGACTGTTGCCCACTGTTGGTCTGCAGGCTGTGATACTGCAGGATTGGGTCTGACAGCTGCCAAGGAAGTGTCTGAAGAAGCCAATTACTGTGCTAAGGTACAGGAAACCATGGATAATTTTTTCTTCTTTTCCAGAATTTTTTTTTTTTTTTTGGTTGGGGGTCATACCTGGTAGTGCTCAGAGCTTACCTCCAGCTCTGTGCAGGGATCACTCCTGGTACGGTTTGGGGGATCATACAGGGTGCTGGGGATTGAACCCGGATTAGTTATGTGCAAGGCAGGCCCTTTACCTGGTGTACGATCACTCTGGCCCCCCTTTCCAGAATAAGGCTATCGTCTACATTTAGGGATGTGGTGGGTGCTGGGGCAGGGGGCATGTGGGAAGAAAAGGCAAAAAACAAACTATGCTGAATCCTTTACTTTAGATTAGGCCTTTCCCCTCTCTACAAGAGCCTTGGTCATTTTATAACTCTGATGTGGCTACAATTTCCTGTTTCTGGTTAGAATTCATGCTGCTCAGAGACTTCAAGCCACAGGGAAGGGAAGAAATATATGAGCACGGGCCTTAGAGGGAACTTGATGTTCCCGTTGAGATCACTTACGTCTTCCCTGAGAAGAGGGGTACGCACATGAAAAAAAAAACCAAACAGGAAACACACCTGCTCCGATGGGGACACGCAAAGTCAGTGGGACGTGGGAGAGAAAACTGCAGAATAAAATCACCCTCAACTGGGTCAAGTTGGGGTTTCTTTTAGGTTTTGGGTTTTGGAGCCACCCCAGCCTGTGCCTGGCTCAGTGCTCAGGGATTAATCCTTCTGGTGCTTAGGGGACCTTGTGGTGAGGGACCGATCCCCGAGGCACCTGGTGACTAACTGAGGCTCAGTCCTCAGAGTTATCTCCGTCACTCAAGTTTTTGTTTCCTTTTTCTTCTTGGACTTTAGGTCACACACAGTGGTGCTCAGGGATCACTTTTGACAGTGCTGGCAGGAGTGGGAGTTATATATGGTGCTGGAGACCAATGTGGGCCAGCTATGTGTGAGGCAAGTGTCTTTCCTGCTACCCTCATTTTTTTTTTGCTGATATATATATATATATATATATATATATGTTGTTTGTTTGTTTCGTTTTTTTAGGGATCATGGTCACACCCGTCTGTGCTCCAGGCTTACTCCTGGCTGTGTTCCCAGATCACTCCTGGTAGAGTTTAGGGAACCCTATAGGTACCAGGGATTGAATCTGGGTCAGCCACGTACAAGGCAAATGTCCTACCTGCTGCACTATCTCTCTGGGCCTTTATTTTTTTTCAATTGTTCTGCCAACTTTTTAAATAAATGGCCGTTCCTAAACGTTGGCCTATCGGGCTGGAGTGATAGCATAGCGGGTATGGCGTTTACCTTGCATGCGGCTGACCCAGGTTCGAACCTCAGCATCCCATAAGGTCCCCCAAGCACCGCCAGAAGTAATTCCTGAGTTCAGAGTCAGGAGTTACCCCTGAGCATTGCCAGGTGTGACCCAAAAATGATCCCAAAAAGAAAAAAGAAAAAAAGGTTGGCTTGTCTTTGGGGATGTTGACTTTTTTTTTTTTTTGCTTTTTGGGTCATACCCGGCGATGCTCAGGGGTTACTCCTGGCTCATGCACTCAGGAATTGCTCCTGGCGGTGCTCAGGGGACCATATGGGATGCTGGGAATCGAACCTGTGTTGGCCATGTTGGCTGCATGCAAGGCAAACGCCCTACCTGCTGTGCTATCTCTCCAGCCCCGATGTTGACTTTTTTTTAAAGTTACTTCTGCCACGAAGCCTCAGTTGTCCCTCCTGTGCCCACGGTCTCAGACCAGTCCAGGAGTCATGGACTGCATGTTGGTGAGAACGGAGGTTCTCCTCATGGTTCTGGCTGGGTGTGGTTACTCTGTGGCAGTGATAGGGCAGGATTTGGGTCAGGGGGATCGCTGCCTCACTCAAAGGGCATGTCCACAGGAAACCTGTTGGGCCCTCCATTATCAGCACGCAATCGGATGCTGAAGTTGAACAGATTTGTGGTTGCAGGACAGACAGAACAAGTTCACCCTCGGCGTTTTGGGAAGTCCGCCCCCTGGAAACTATGACAGCTTCAGTGATTGGGGATATCTCAGAGAACATGCCAGAAGAGGGAGAATTCTGGGCAAGAACTCAGGGGACAGAAGGTGCCCGCTGCCAGCCCTGGGTCACCATAAAACAGGAAGTAAGACCTAGGGGCTATAGGTGGGAGGACAAACACTGCAGTGTCTTCAATGCCAGGGTACACGACACACACTACCGATGGGCCTCTCCTTTCCCCATTTCCTTTGCAAGTTTCACGACAAGTCTGGCCAAGCCCTGCCTGCCTCAGCCTTGAGCACTGTGCAGATGCAGCCTGGAGGGGCTGTTACCTTTGGTCCTGTCTCCAGTCGGGAGTAGAGTAGGTAGGTGTGCAGATCCCCATATTTCATGAAGGGTAAGATCACCATGGGCTTGGGGACGCCCTGAGAGCTCATTTCTATACATACACCTGAAATTGAAAAAGGAGCCCAAGTCACAAAGAGCCCTTGTTACATGTAAGCGGACAGGTACTGCAGGGACCACACTGACGCCAAGAGTTCCCAGGCCAACAGCTCCAAACAAATAAAGCTTGGGGTGCACACGCAACTTTCTAGAGCATGGGCCGCAAACCGAGGTCCCACCACCTTCACAATGCCAGTCTCTGCATGAGAGCAAAAATGATCCCAATCATAGGAAGAATCCTGCTACCATCACATGCTGAAACCAACTAAAGGAAGGGGGGTGTTGTGGAGGAGGGGAGCAGGAAGTTAAATCCTCACCCCTACGTGTTGAGAGTCAGACTCAGGAGAAACATTGTGGATCGCGGAATTCTAGAGCTCACAACGCCTGTCATTTGGGAGGGGGGTAGGGAGGGTTTTGCACACTGTGAGCCCTGACAAAGTGTCATTGTTCTCACCTGCCGCTCAGGCCAGTGGCTGAGAGGGAGCAACAGTGGTTTCTTTGCTGGGATAATGGGTCCAAATACTAGCTCTCACATTTCTCTATGGTCAAAGTCTTGAAAATTCCCAGAAGCTTTTAGTATTTATTAAGAAAAATAAGGTGGGCAGAATATTTAATTAGTTTTTGTTTTCTCTCCTCTTTGGAATAGTATTACTGACACAGCAGCAAACCTTTGACATCTAGTCTTTTGGGGAATTGGGAGCTAATGGTAGTACAAAGGCACTGTTTGATTTTGTATTCTGGGCCACACTTACTCGGTTATGCTCAGAACTTACTCCTGGTTCTGTGCTTAGGGATCACTCCTGGTAGGGCTCAGGGGATCTTATGTGCTGGGTGCTAGGAGCAGAACCTGGGTTGGCTGTGTATAGGGCAAGAGCCTTATCTGTTGTACTATCTCTACTGCCACAAAAGCAAATTTTTGTTTGTTATTTTGGGGACTAACCTTCGTGATGCTCTGGGTTTAGCCTGGCACTGTGCTCAGACACATTTCTGGCAGGGCTCAGGGAACCATACATGGTACCAGGGATCAAACCCAGGTGGGTTGCATGCAAGACAAGCAACTCCAGACCCAAAGGCATGTTCTCATGTTCTCATGTTCTGATTATTAAATCATATCCCATGAAATTGCCAATGTAGAGCCCCCCCCAATCAGTACTTCAAAATATGTTAATAAGTTGTAAGAAAGAGTTTATGGAATTCATTTGCTTTTGTATCTTTACTTCATTAGCACTAAATTCATAGATGACCTTAAATCAATAAACACCTGAAACAGGACCCACTCTCTTGTGCTGTCTTTGAATAACAAGGGGCCATTTTAACCACAGTCACCCGCAACTCTGTGGATGGGTAAATAAATCAGTATTCATCAGGAAATGGAACCTCAACTTACTATCAGAATCAGAAAATGTACTGAGAAGTCATTAGAGAAAAATCCCCAGTGCTATAAACTCCTTTTGTGGTACACAAGGAGTAAGCTTAGCAATGCTAGACTTTTGCTTTGGGCAGAGTGTAGGAGGTGAGCCCCTTGGGCCACCAGGAGCTGCATTTATCTGACATACCGAGGAGCCGGATGACGTTGGGGTGGTCGAAGTCCTTCATGCACGCAGCCTCACTGAGAAACTCCTCGATCTCTCGCTGTGAAAAATTATTCACTAAAAAAAAAAAAGGTGGAATGTGTTAGATACAAACAATTGAATGCAGGGGAGGGGGTCCCTGGACAGCCTTCTTCCCCTCAGGGATGAAGACCAGAACACACAAATCTCATCACTGGCTTTGTAGAGAAGCCGCCTGCACCCAGAAAGAAGGTCTGGACCGGCCATTCAGTCATCACTCACACTTCATGGTCTTCACTGCCACCTTCTGAGAGGTCCCATCTGGCTGGTTGAGGTTTCCCTCCATTACTGACCCAAATTCTCCTGAGAAATAAAAGAGAATTATATTGACTCTGCTCAAAGTTGCTCCTGCCTCAAAGATGCTGATGTGCCAATGGAACTGCTGTGTTCATGTGACCCAAGGACTACCCATCTGCTGGGCAGAGTCTGTATCATCCACCTAAACCCACGAATAAGGGGCACAGGACACACATAAGCATGAGGAGCTAGACTTGGATGGCATTTGCCTTTATAGCTGATCCAAACATTATACATGACAACATGGAAAATATTACTGATTTGACAAAATACACAGTCTTGAAAAGCACCATATTTATCCCCAAATCATTTGGACTCATTATTCATGCATTTTCACCCTTGTTCCTATATAATACTGGAAGGTACCAAAATAATAAATTTTCATCATGCTTATATAATAACTTAAAGTCACAAGTATTATTTTAATAGCTAGCTAAAACTTTCTACCGTCTTACCTATACTAAAACTTCTTACCTTTTTACCTCATATTTTTACTTATTTGTTTATTGGGGGGGGCAACATCTGACTATGGTCAGGGATTGCTTCTGCCTCTGCACTCAGAAATTATTCCTGGCAGTGCTTGGGATATCATATGGAATGCCGGGTATCAAACCGGGTCTCTGTGCTATTGCTTCAGCCTCCCACCTCAATTTTGTGAAACAGCTTACCTTCACCTAGGATTTTCCCAAGAATTAGAAGATTCCTGTCGATCACAACATCTTCAAGTTTATTCTGAAGCTCCTCGCTGACGCCTAAGCTGTGTACTAGGAAAGGAGGGACAGAGAGAGTATGGAGAAGTCATCAGTGTGCTTCCTGTCACTGCATGTAATTAAAATAAGTTTATGAAATCCTTGAAGACAGTTGAACACTTATGGCATTTTACACTCATGGAATTCCTTAGGAGATGACAATCGTAAACCCTTAACACTTAACTACTAAGATTAAAGTGAGTAGGAGGAATCCTCTGGGGCAAGATTAATTTTGAGAGGCTATAAAAAACCAGACTATTATTTCTTTTGCTGCTGGGTAGTAGCAGCAGTCAGCAATCAGCTTCGGGTGGGTGAGTTGGCTTTGAATGAAGATACTTAAGCCTCCTCCCCTTCTCTTTCCATTGTTGTTGTTATTGCAGTTGTGGTGATGGGAGGGTTGTACACTCTGACTCCAGTGCACCAGAGATGGTGCATTTTGTGGCAGTGCTGGGGCTTTGCAAGTTGCAGTGGGGCTGGGAAGTCTTGGGGACAGCTCTGGGAATCAAAGTTGTTATTCTTGTTTTTTGTCTTTTTCTTGGGGGGGGGGCACACCTGGTGATCTTCAGGGGTTACTCCTTGCTTTGCACTCAGGAATTCCTCCTGGTGATGTTCAGGGGAACTCATGGGATGCTGGGGACCAACCTCGTCGGCCACGTGCAAGGCAAGTGTTCTACCTACTTTACTATTGCTCCAGCCCCTCAAACTCTAAGTCTTATGTCTGCAAAGCAGGTACTCTAAGGACTCAGCCACAGCCTCTGGGTCCTAGTATAGGGAAACTAATTTCATAACTATTTGTCAAATGATTTCAATTGTGCATACTTACTGCATGGGCAAGACTTGGGAAGTGGGGAAAATGTGGGCAATTAAAAAGGCCATATTGGGGCTGGAGCAACAGCACAGCAGGTAGGGCATTTGCCTTGCATTTGGCTGACCCAGGTTCGATTCCTAGCATCCTATATAGTCCCCTGAGCACCACCAAGAGTAATTCCTGAGTGCAGAGCCAGGAGTAACCCCTGAGGATTGCAGAGTGTGACCCAGAAAGCAAAAATAATAAAATAAAATAAAATAAAAAGGTCATATTTGCCTTTTGAAATATAACTACTCAAAAGGATCAAAAGGAAGTTTCAAATGAAGAATTGTAATGATAAAGCAGACATAAGACTGGGGCTGGAACGATAGCACAGTAAGTAGTACATTTGCCTTACATGAGGCCAACCCGGGTTGAATCCCTGGCAGGAGAGGTTCCCTAGTGCACAGTCAAGAGTCCTGAGCACTGCTGGGTGTGGCCGTAGGACAAATAAGCAAAAGAAAAAGGAAAGGAAAACAGTGAAAGAATCAGAAAAGTAAAATTAGCAACATTCTATATCAAGTGGGTTTTTTTTTTTTTTTTGCTTTTTTTGGGTCACACCCAGTGATACTCGGGTTACTCCTGGCTCTGCACTCAGGAATTACTCCTGGCAGTGCTCGGGGGACCATATGGGAGGCTGGGAATCGAACCCAGGTCGGCTGCGTGCAAGGCAAACGCCCTACCCACTGTGCTATCGCTCCAGCCCCTCAAGTGGATTTTTATTTCATAGCAGTCTGCATTCCATCCTTCGTTTGCGGTTGACTTTTTAGTTTTTTGGCAAACACTGGACAACATAAATTGAATAATATTTGCGCAAACTTTCTGCACTGCTTCAGAAGTTATTCCTAACAGTTACCTGTTTATTCCAACCCTTGCAACTAGGAGGCTCAGCTCTTGAATTTAGCAAAATTTCAAACCATAATTGCTGACAAAGCATGCTGGCAAATGCTGGTCACTCAGATGCCAACAAAAGAACAGGAACTGAACTCTGATATTAGGCCACTGGGTTTGTTGTTTCCTTAAATTCCGGACCTCTACCCACACCTCTTACTACCCAAGTTCCTTCCATGAGAGAGAGACTGTGGCATAATGAATCCCTATCCCAGCTACTCATCTCAGGTTCAGATCTCCAGCAAATCTATCAACAGGGATACACGAAACAATTTCTAACTATCTGCTTTGTTGGTTTCTGAAAGCATTTTGCACATGAAAAATAGATCGATCTATCTTTCATATCCTTCGGCTTTTGTTAGAGATCTATTGACTTGCTGCCTTTTCATTTCTCTCAACTCTATCACTCAAATCTCTTTGGCCAAAATAAAGAGAAATAAAAGTCAACTTACAGGTGAGTTCAATGGCCCTTCGACAAAAGGATTTCTTCGCTACATAGTTGACAACTAATTCTGAATCCTCTTCTGCAAAGGCATTCCTGGGTGAAGAAAACAAAGATATGGTTCCACACAGGGTTTTAGTGGGCTCACTCCACAGGGATGCTACTGACACACCCCTAGGAAGGGACTGTTCTATAATAAAAACATTTCCTAGGGACCAGAGCCATTGTACAGCAGGCAGAGCACTTGCCTTGTACATGGTTGACCAGGGTTTAATCCCCAACCTCCATAGAACCCCCTGAATCCCACTAGGAGTGATCCTTGAACACAGAGTCGGAGTAAGATCTGAGCACCACCATATGTGGCCCAAAACCAAAAAATCAAAAAACCATTTCCTAGTGGAAAGAATAGGCTTCCTTCCTTAGATCTATTTTAGGCTTCCCTGACAGTATTAAAAAAAAATCAACAAACAAATCTACACTTACATCTCAGCATCTTCAAAAGCAAAGAATCAGTGATTAGTCCCTGATGACCAAAGTTGTAACAGTCTGAGCATCAATATTAAGTAGTCATAGATTATAAACAAAGTACAAAATCTGAGGCCAGAGTGATAGTACAGCCCTGCAAGTGGGTGACCTGGGTTCCACCCCCAGTACCCTCTATGGCTCCCCTAGCTCAACCAGGAGTGATCCCTGAGCACAGAGCCAGAAGTAAGGCCTGAACACTGCTGGGTGTGACTCAAAAACAAAAGTATAAAATCAATCTTCATAAATCCATACAGATAGATGTTTAATTATATTATTTACTACATATAAGTATGTTTATTTTTATTTATTTATTTATTTTTTGCTTTTCGGGTTACACCTGGTGATGCACAGGGGTTACTCCTGCCTCTGCACTCAGGAATCAACCCTGGTAGGACTCAGGAGACCATATGGGGTGCTGGGAATCGAACCCGGGTCGGCCACATGCAAGGCAAATGCCCTACCCGCTGTGCTATTGCTCCAGCCCCAGCATGTTTATTTTTTATTTATTTTTTATTTTGGCTTTTTGAGCCATACCCGGAAATGTTCAGGGGTACCTCCTCCCTCTGCACTCAGGAATTACTCTTGGTGGTGCTCTGGGGACCATATGGGATGCCGGGGATCATAACCCGGGTCAGCTGCGTGCAAGGCAAACACTCTACCTGCTGTACTATCACTCTGGTCCTAGTATAAGATGTTTAATTGAATAAATATATACAGGGGATAGAGACAAATCTCTTGTACAAAAGAATTCTAAATAGTTTACACAAACACTTAAGACTTAGTGGTGAGAGGAACTGCAACTTCTCGTGATTTACATGTGAACTGTGTGTTGACTTGCTTCCGAAGAGTGCAGTATGCAAAAAGGAGTAAAACTACAGCACAGACACCTAGCTAACTCCGTCCAATCAAGGGTACATGCTTACTGCTGAACTGAGTTAATGGTGTGAGCCCTTAGGTTGGTGCAATGAACATGATCCTTCAGCTCTGTAACCTCCTTGTCCATAATCCCTAACTCCAGTCTAATCATGAGCAAAACTTCAAGTTCCCCTAATGCTGAAAACTGCCAACTTCATCAAAAACAAAATCTGAGGAACTACCATGGTCAAGGGACAATTCAGTGCAATGTGGTGTCCAAGGCAGAATTCAGGACAGAAAAAAAGAGTCAAAAACTAAGAAATCTGAATGAAATATAGACTTCACTTAATGATCATGTAATGATTCTGGTAACACCTCACACCAAAGCAAGAAACTATTAGCAGGGAAATGAATGGGTTTGAGGGAAGTTGTACTATTTTCTACATTTTCCTATAAATTTCAAATGTCTCTAAAAAAATCCACTAAGTTGAGTTTATCACAAACTTTAAAACTCACTGTGCCACACATGCAAGACCTATGATCTCCCACTCGAGCCATATTTCAAGTCTTTAGACTAATTGATGGGCCAGTATCATGAATTAGGAAGGTTAAATTATATACTTGGGCCGGAGCGATAGCACAGCAGGTAGGGCGTTTGCCTTGCATGTGGCCGACCCGGGTTCAATCCCCGGCATCCCATATGGTCCCCCCAGCACTGCCAGGAGTAATTCCTGAGTGCAAAGCCAGGAGTAATACCTGAGCATTGCTGGGTGTGACCCAAAAAGCAAAAAAAAAAAAAAAAATTTATATACTTAAATTCATTTTATCTTGGGCACACATATTATTTTAAAAGTGAGAATACATTAACCAATTTTTTAAATTAATAACAAAATTAAAATTAAATAAATTAAAATAAAACAAAATTAACCAATTTTTTTAATTAACAACAAAATTAAAACAAAATAAGGCAGGAGCTGGAGCTATAGTACAGCAGGTAGGGCATTTGCTTTGCAAATGGCCCACCCAAATTTGATCCCTGACACCCCATACTGTCCCCCAATGTTGCTGGGGGTGATCTCTAATAGAAGAGACAGGAGTAATCCCTGAGCACCACTGGGTGTAGACCCCCCCAAAATAGAAAATAAAAAAATAAACAGAAGAGTGAAGCACTTGAAAGATTCTGTATAACAATAAGGCAATTGTGGTCATGTTTGAAGCCTGGGATTATAGCTAGATTTTCCTTCTTACTATGACCTTGATCTCTTTCTGTGCTTCCTTTTTCCCTGGAATTGCCTATGATCCTCTGAACATTCCCAAGAGTGATCCCTGAGCACAGAGCCAAGAGTAAACCCTGAGCACCACTGAGTGTAACACAAAACCAACCAAATAAATTTAAATGTAAAAATAGATAAAGTTTTCTTTATCACAAAAATAGTTGATCACCTTACAGAATAGAAATAGAAAGTATATAATGAATTCCAAAAATAACATGAACTCATCCATTACCTGGAAATGCTAATATTTTGGTGAATTTCCTTTTAGGTTTTTTTTTTTTGGTGGCGAGCTACACTTGACAGTGCTCAGGGCTCAGGGCTCAGTGCATACGGGGCACCCTGGCCACTGTACTATCTCTCTGGCCCCTATTTACTTAGTATTATTATCATTTTTTAAATCTACGCACACATTTCTTTTGTTCTTCTTTGTTCTGAATAGCTAGGATCCTTTTTTAGAATTCCTAAAAAATGCTCAGTTAACAGCAACCATGGGGCTGCAGTGATAGTACAGAAGGTAAGGCATTTGCCTTGCATGCAGCCGACCTGAGTCCATGGCATTCCAAATGGACTCTGAGCATTGCCAGGAACAGTTCCTGAGAGCAGAGTCAGGAGTAATCCCTGAGCATTGGTGGGTATGATGCAAAAAATAAAATAAAAACACTTTAAAAAACAAACAAATAAACCAAAACCAGCAACCATGTTTGAGTAATGAAGGCCTACTGGTTTCAATAAATGAGCCCCTTTGCATGCTGACTTCATTGGTGGATGTCACAGTGGGCAAGGAAAGGGTCTATCCAATGCTCTTGGGGCATTGGATAGGGTGCCTGCATAGTCCACTGTGTGGAGCTGGGTCAGTAGGAAAAACATTATCCCTTAGTATAACAACTGCTATAGTAGTGGGCAAAATATTTTCAAATGGAGAACTTACCCAAACCGTGTCTCCTGGAGTCTTTTTCTGATGGACGTAGAAATATACAAAACCAACCCAATTAAAATAAATCCACAGATGCAGCCGAGGAGGATGAGCACAGGATCTGAGTTGCTGGGGGCTGGGGTGGAAGAAGGGGCAATATCTCCCCAACCTGGGAAAAGATGTATCAAATTAAATAATTCAAAACATCTCTTTGGGATTCAAAGTATATGAGAAACATTGACTTATAATGGGGAGAACAGAGTCAAAAGCTTGAAAATGCTGTTCTTTCCTATTCTTTTTTTTTTCCTTTTTGGGTCATACCCGGCAATGCACAGTGGTTACTCCTGGCTCTGCTCAGGGACCATATGGGATGCTGGGAATCGAACCCTGGTTGACCGCGTACAAGGCAAATGCCCTAACCACTGCGCCATCACTCCAGCCCCCTGTTCTTTCCTATTCTGTAATCTTTACGAATGCAGGGAGTTCTCATGGCTGTGCAAAGTGAAACTGCAGGGTGTTATTCATAAACAGAGGGAAACTATTTCTGTCTCGATAAAAGTATAGAAAGAATTGGAAAAGTACTAAAATAAATATTGATAGATATACTCTAACTTAAAAACACTAGAGACAGAAATACTCTTATTTCTCTCTCTTCTGGGGTGTAGGACAATGAAAAGAAAAGTGAATGAGATTTGTATTGAATATGGAGATATGAGAAGGAACTGGTTACAGAATTGTAGATACTTTGCTATTTGCTGGACCAGAGAATCAATTGAATGAGGGAGTTGTCCCTAAAACATGCTGATGCCTCAGAACATGCTCCAGCAACATTTGGGGCTGGGGTGTGTGTTTAGGTCACTCCCAGCTGTGTTCAGGACTGACTCCTGGCTCTGTGCTCAGGGATCACTCCTAGTGTGCTCAGGGGACCATATGGAATGCCGGAGATTGACTCGAGTCAGCTACATGCAAGGTAAGTGCTTTACCCACTGTACTATTTCACCAGCCCCCTCCAGCAACAATTTTACAAAAAGGGACTCCCAGAAATAGTTTACAATGTTGAAAGTATAAAGGATCAAACACTAGAAGCTGATCCAAAGCTAGAAACAAGTATGATGATTCACAAGGGCAGAAAAAATAGATTCCCTTTGTAGCATAAAACATATGACTGGGGGAGGGGGGCTGGAGTGATAGCACAGCAGTAGGGCGTTTGCCTTGCATGCAGTCAACCCAGGTTCGATTCCCAGCATCCCATATGGTTCCCCGAGCACTGCCAGGAGTAATTCTTGAGTGCAGAGCCAGGAGTAACCCCTGTGCATTGCCAGATGTGACCCAAAAAGCCCCCCCCCAAAACAAACAAAATAAAACATATGACTAGAAGACAGTTTATTTTATTTCTATTCAAAATACAAGAGTGAAAGGGAGATAGAGCTAGAGAGTGGGGAGAGAAAGGTGAAGGAGGGGGCAGGGCATTTGCTTGAATCCCACCAAACCCAGTTTGATTCCTGGCACCCCATATGGTGCCCTGAGCATTTCCAGGTCACTCTTGAGCAGAGTCAAGAATAGCCCTTGAGCACTGTGGGATACAGTCGCAAAGCAAAGCCCACTCCATCTCCATCCATCCATCCCACCGATCACCCTTGGTGTCACCTGGACAGTTGCGTCCTGTCAGCTAGGAAGAGCCTCTCACCGTGCACAGGGATGAAGAGCTTCACTGGGTTGCTGAAAGGTCCGACGCCCCCTTTGGTGACAGCTGCAATCCTCACTGTGCATGTGGCATTGTGGAACTCAATGGGGATCTGGGTGTGGCTGTCATTCTGGCTGACTTCTTCAGAGAACTCTTGCTGGGAACAGAGAGTGAAAAAGTGAGGGGCTAAGGGAAGACAGGTTGTGTGTCCCAGGGTCTTCTGAGGGATTCACACCCCAAGGACAGGACCACTATTTTCACACTTCCCCACTTTGACCGCAAAAAACAGACCCTAAAAGTGAACAGCAGCCTCTCTAGGGCCAATGAGGCTGGCAAGGCTACAGCCTTGAGCGTGACCAGTGCAGAAGTTTCTGGGAGAGGGAGCATCTGTAAATGCACCGTGATGGTGAACCACACTCACAACAGCTCAGAGCCACGCTGTGCCGTGGCTGACCACCTGCCAGCTTTCGTGAAAGAGTGTGAGTGGGTGCCTGGTCCTTGAAATGATAAAACTGTAACTAAATTCTAAATTGAGATAGGCATCAGGGCTCTTTTTTTCCCCTTTCTTTTGCAATATGAAACAAAGCGCAATGTACTCAATTTCCAAAACACTGATTTCACCTTTTAAAACCAGAATTTTTTTAATTTAAAAAATTAAAACATGGGGAGCACCTTATGAGAATGGCTACAATCAAAGAGACCAACAGCAAGTGTTGGGGAAGAAAGGGAGAAGGGGGAGCCCTGTGAGCTTCTGGCGGGAGTCTCCAGGGGGCAGACATTACAGAAAACAGCACAGGAAGTTATCAGCAATTAGGAGCAAAACCACTGGGAGCCAATTCAAGTTGTTTGTCTGGAGAACATGAAAACATTAATGTGAAGAGACATGCACCTCTCATTCATCAGTGTCCAAGAGCTGAAAACAACCCAAGTTTTCATTGACAGGACAAAGAAGAGGTGGTGTATAAACACAGTGGAATACAACTCACCTCTCTCTCTCTCTCTCCACACACACACACACACACATGAGGACTGGGGGATCTAGAGTGGAGTGTTTGTATAGTTTAGGCGGTGATTTATATTGAAGAATATCTGAGCCTATACAAAGTTAGAAATCCATGTGAGTGCTAGTCTGATTAGAAAACCACTTTTTAAATAGGAAATATAAGGGGTCTTGACAAAAAGAACTAGCTATATCACCCTTTTGCCTTTGTCTCCAAAGTTTGATTCTAATGATATTTTGGGGTACAGGAAATCAATGGTGTTTTTGAGGCTGGCTTTTCAAATGAACTAGAGTGGGATAGTGAAACAGGGCCTGAGGTAGGTGTCTTTCTCTCTGATTGCTGTATGTTAGATTTCAGAGAGAGAAATTTCAGAGAGAGAAATCCCAGGCAGGGGTATGATCCCTACAGATACCCAGCCAGGGACTGGATCGCAGAGACACCCAGCCAGGGGTGCGATCGCCACAGACACCTGCCAGGGATGTGATCCCCACATTCAGGCAGGTGTGTGACCCCAACATCCATTCAGGTGTGTATGAGCACCACAGCCAAAGGTGCACCCCCCAGCAAGCACCCTAACTAAAGCTGAGACCAGTAGGCAAACATCCCAACACAACTAAAGACCTGGGAGCACCAGAGACCCGTATGTGAGCCCAGTGAGCACTACACTAACGTGCGGGAGTCTTCACCAAACACATGTGCAAGCACCTCAACCAGAGTGTGTGACCCTCTGTAACCACCCAACTGTGTGAGCAACACATCTAAGTGAGTGTGTCCCTGGTCATCACAATGAATGATGGCAACAAACGGAAGAGACAAAACAATAATAAAGGAGAAAATGTTGTATATCACCGTAGAGTGAATCTCAGGTGTCACTTAGTCTGAAGATGACATCCTAATTATAGGATAACAAAGAAACACAGAGGAGCCAGAGCAATAATGCAGTGGATAGGGCATTTGCCTTGCATGCAGCTGACCCAAGTTTGATCCCCTTTCCCCATACAGTCCTCTGAGCTCACCAGGAGCACAGAGTCAGGAGTAAACCCTGGCTCCACCAGATGTGGCCCTAAACAAAAAAACAAAAACAAATGAACACAAAGATTGAAAACTAAGCTTTCAGGATTGCCTGCTGTGACCTACTCATGACCACTTCTCCACAAATTCTGAGATGATGCACAAAACACCACCCTGAGTAAAGTAATGAGTGGGAATATCCTTCAAAGCCACGAACGTTGCATAAAAAAAGACATAGCTGCAGGAGTAGTTGCCTAAAAATGGAAATGAACCGGCAGTTTTGAGAGATGAAGTTGCACCTTCTGCTTCACCATCCCCCCAAAAGAGGTGAGCCCGAGTGCTTGTGCTGTCTATGGTACCCGGGTATGTGGTATACACAGAGATGCATCCTGGGCTCTTTCTCTCAACTTTGGAAAAGCCCGCATTCTTTCTTGAATGCATTACTCCCCCCTCCTCAAAACTTTCAAATAAAACCTGTTAAACTTCACATGCTCTGGGCACTAAGTTTGATTAATGGCACTGCATGACCCCGATGGCCACCAGATGTGGCCAGGTGGCCCCCCACCCTTGGCACCAATAACTGCTGGCAGCACAGCATCACTGTGTCACTATAGGCTTCAGGTCTCTGAGCACTGCTGGTAGAGTCCCTATTGATAAAAGGGAGGGAGGGAGGGAAGAAAAAGGGTAGGAAGGAAAGGAAGGAAAATGAAGGGAAGGAAGGAAGGAAGGGAGGAAGGAAGGAAGGAGAGAAGGAAATGGAAGGAAGGAAAGTTGGTTAACTGGTGGTACACACTGTCTTTTCATAGAAGAATGAGATGAGGGCAAAGGCTGAGTTCTAAACACATTTAATGAATGAATAAATGAAAGGACGAGTGAGCAACTGGAGAAAGCCCCAAAGATAGAACTTAAGAACTGTTCAATGAATTCTGATTTTTTTTATTTGTTTTGGTTTTGGTGTCACAACCAGCAGTGCTCAGGGCTCACTCCTGGTGGGGCTTGAGGAGAATATGCAGTGCTGGTGATTGAGCCTACATTGGCTGTGTGCCCTGGCAGCGGTCCTCTTTCTCTAGCCCCTGAAGTGATTTTTACAACTCTCTTTACATCCCAATGAAAGGCTCTTTTCTTCACTTAATACCAGGTGGAGTCACATGAAAATAAATATTTCTGCAACAATCTTGGGCTGGAGTGATAGCACAGCGGGTAGGGGTTTTGCCTTGCACATGGCCAACACAGGTTCTATTCCTCCATCCCTCTCGGAGAGCCTGGCAAGCACCCGAGTATCCCGCCCGCACGACAGAGCCTGGTAGCTCCCCATGGCCTATTCAATATGCCAAAAACAGTAACAACAAGTCTCTCAATGGAGACGTTACTGGTGCCCGCTTGAGCAAATTGATGAACAATGGGAGGACAGTGCTACAGTACAACAAAGCTTATCACATTGAACACTAGTATAACCCATAAATGGCTCACACTTGAATGTGGCTTACTTGACACAGGTGGTGTCACTTTTTAATCACAAATGAAGGGAGCCCAGTGCAGACCCTGAGCATCTGACTCACCTGTGTCTCTATGTTCTGCCATAGGTGCGAGATCCGGTAGCCCTGCAGGGCCCCTTCCTGCCGCTTCATCGGAGGCCTGACCCAGCTCACATTCACTTTATGGCTGTAAACATTGAGAGACACGGTGACATTCGAAGGTGCTGCCGACGGGGCTACGAAGGAAAAGGGAGAGAGTGAAGAAGCCCAAAGAGAAGCACGGAGGGATTCATTCCTGAGACGGGGGCTTTGGACATCCTCAGGACAGCACTCAGATGAGACGAGTCTCAAGTGAACTCTCACCCTCATTTCAGATAAGGACCTCATGCACTGTGCTGAAGAAAACAGCGGGTGCGAGTGGGTGGCCCAAGAAGATTCCAGCTCAGCAAACCAAGTAACAGGGTTCTCCAGAAAAAGCGGGAGACGCGGGTTGACAAGTGGAGCACTCCTGTGTCATTTGAGTCATACGAGATGGGGAGCCCTGCTCAGTTCAGAAAGGGGCCACATTTTATAGTCCAGAGACAATGATGGGTGATGAAGCAGGGCTGACCAATCAACTAAAACATCTGTAAGATAGATTAGTAGTAGTAGTGGTAGCAGTCTAGTAGTTGTAGTATAGAAGCAGTATAGTAGTAGTAATATAGTGTAGTGGTAGTACTATAGTATAGCTGTGTGAAGTAGTAGTATTGTGTGACAGTATGTAGTGGCCGTAGCATAGCATAGCATAGTACAAAATAATAGTATAGTGCAGCAGTAGAGTAGCAGAAGCAAGGTAGTAGTGTCACGATGTCCGAGATTGAGCTCAGGGTCCCACAAACACGAGACAGGTGCTTTACTGCTGAGTCACATCCCCATCGGCATGTCATTGAGTATCAAGGGGCAAATTTTTTCTTTGTGTTTTGTTTTATTTCTGAGTCACATCCAGCAGTGCTGGGGGAGTCAAGAGCTATTTCTGGCTAGTGCTTGAAGGTTGCTCCACCAAGGGCTGGGCGGGGGTGGGGGTGGGGTCGCATTCTGTGCTGGAGACGGAATACAGGGCTTCACAGGCAGAGCACTCTGAGCCACCTCCATGCTGTGCCGGGGACCGAATACGGGGCTTCTACAGGCAACACACACACTGAGCCACCTCCCTGGCCCAGGAAGGTCAAATGTCAATGACTGGGCTAGATGTCAAGAGGGAGAATTGAGCATGGGGTTTTTCTCTCTAGTTGATAGTAAATTCGGCACAAGTCAAGTACCTGTTTATATCTATGTCAAGATCTCTTTTCTCTCACAAACATATAAAGATAAAAGTTATTTTGCAAAAAATGTATAGGTACAGGAATGTATAAATGATTTGGGGAACAGGTCAGGGTTATTTATTACAATGTTCTTTGTTGTGAGGGAGAAACAGGATGACAACCTAGTAAAAATGAAAATAATATGCTCTCTGATCGAGTATATTTTAAAGTAATCTAGAAAAATTTTCATGTAGGTAAGGTTCTATTAATTAAAGCCTAAGTGACAAAAATGAATAAATTTAATATGTAGTACCTGATACACTTTCCATGGAATACTCACTACCAGGACAGCAAAGATAATAAAGTGGGGTTGGGGGGCCAGATAAATAGTACTTTGGGTAGGGTGCTTGCCTTGAATTGAGCTTTCTGGATTAAATTCCTAGCACCACATACGGTCCCCTGAGCACCAGAGTGATCTCTGAGCACAGGACCAGAAGTAACCCCTGAGCACTACCAGGTTTGGCCCCAAAATAACCCAAAAACAAACACACAAAAAGAATGAGGTGCGTTATTGCATTACCATGAAAAAGTATCTAATGGGAAAAAAGGATAAATTGTGAAAAGATATGTATCAAAGGCCCTCTTCAGAAACTAAAAAAATAAGTATTTTATATATAAAAGAAATTGCAATTATATATATATACTTTATTGCTGTGTTTGGGAAAGAGTAAATTTTATATTTCTGATATATCTGAAGGGAAAATAAAGGGATAGTATAACTATCTCTGCTGATTGTAGAAATTAACATAATGAGAACAACAAATTTTAGTGGGACATGTCATATAGTAAAAGTCACATACTTTATGCCTATGAGTCATAGACTTTCAAATCTGCTGTAGAATTTACTGATAAACAGTAAATTTTAAAGGCCTTCTTACCATGGCTTTCTGTCTATTCCTGCCTAAAACCCCTTGGCCACGGTAGTGGTTTATTTTTTCCTTTTTTGGGTCACACCTGGCGATGCACAAGGGCTACTCCTAGCTCTGCCCTCAGGAATTATTCCTGGAGGTGCTCAGGGGAATATATGGGATGCTGGGAATTGAACCCGGGTTGGCTATGTGCAAGGTAAACGGCCTACCCGCTGTGCTATCACTCCAGTCCCAAGTATCTTAACAGTATGACCTAAAGAGGAGGCAACAGTGAAAGAGAAACTTCAACATAAAAAGTTGAAAAAGAGATAAGGACAGTACAATTAATTTGTAATACAAGCCAATTCTTCCCGCAGAACCATAGAGAGGCCAGTGACTGTGGGCTGAGGTACCAAAGACAAAGATGAAGATTGGGGAGAGACCACTCTGAGCAGGAAGGAGTCAGCAAGATGAGTCCAATCTATTTCAAAACAACACACAGGTCTTCCCTCAGACTCCCACTCTCTGTCCTGAAAGATAGCGGACATGGGACATCCAAAGAACCAGAGGCAACTCTGGTGAAGTTGGTCCACTGGTGAGAGAGGAGACTCCCTCTGAACTCCTAGAATGTTAGCATAATAAAATTTAAAATAAATGCAACTAAATTAATTAAAACAATCATTAATACTAGGGGGAATAACATTGGTAGTATCACTGTGCTGTCTTTTACTCTTATTTGGATTTACTTTAAGTGTAAAGTTCATGTTCTGCTGTGAATTAAGTGTCGCTGTGTTTAAAGAGAATATAGTGATCCTAGTGCCTGCTTTGCAGGGCTGTCTCTGAGGGTCGAGTGAATTGTGCAGGTAATGCATTGAATTTGGTTGGTGGCTGGCAGGCACTCAGTGACTGTCAGCCATGTTCACGTTCATTAGTTTTCTCCAGTTTGCTGCTCTCAGTAAAAGTTTTTATGTTTCTGGTTTAATTTAAAATAATGTGACGGGGGGGGGGGGGGTGCTGGAGCAATAGCACAGTGGGTAGGGTGTTTGCCTTGCACACAGCTGACCTAGGTTTGATTCCCAGCATCCCATATGGTCTTCTGAGCACTGCCAGGAATAATTCCTGAGTGCATGAACCAGGAGTAACTCCTGTGCATCGCCGGGTGTGACCCTCCCCCCAAAAAATGTGACAGGGGCTGGAGCGATAGCACAGCAGGTAGGGTGTTTGCCTTGCATGCGGCCAACCCAGGTTTGATTCCCAGCATCCCATATGGTCCCCTGAGCACTACCAGGAGTAATCCGTGAGTGCAGAGCCAGGAATAACCCCTGAGCATTGCCGAGTGTGACCCCAAAACCAAAAATAATATAAAATAATATGACACATAAATGTGCTGCTACTAATATCTTCTTTCTTTTTTTCTTTTTTGGGTCATACCCGGCGAGATGCTCAAGGTTACTCCTGGCTCTGCACTCAGGAATCACTCCTGGCAGTGCTCAGGGGACCATGTGGGATGCTGGGAATAGAACCCGGGTCGGCCGCATGCAAGGCAAATGCCCTACCCCCTGTACTATTGCTCCAGCCCCCACTAATATCTTCTTAATAAATGAAAATATGTAAGTTCTGTCTGTAAACCCTTTTAAAGTACAGCAGGAAGTACGTTCTTTCCTATTTTCACTGGCCACTCAGTACAATTTTCTCCCAAGGGTCCCGGAGATCAGACAGGATCCCCTCAAGCAGAAGGCCGTGAGTGGGATCCCCAGTATTGGCATATGTGCTGAGCACACTCTGGGTGCCTCTGCTGTCCGTGACCCTTGGCACTACAATCATACTCGTCAGGGGCATGTGAGCACCACTGCTAAAGGGTGCAAGCCTCTGAGCACCACTTAAAAGAAATGTTGGAACACAGTGTCCAACAAATGTGGCCCCGGCAAGCAGCTGTGCCAGCACCGCAAGCAAACCATAAACTCTCCATCAGGCACTGGAGGATGCTTTGCTTCCTCATCTGCCACCAGGGCGATTATTCAGCCCGAATCCCAGCGGTTACCTCCTTCAGTGGTGCTGGCCAGAATGCCAGCGCTCCGTGCCGACCAGCCAATGTCATTCATGCAGGACACATCGATAGTGTAGTTAGCCAGCGCCTGCAGCTGCTCAACTTGGTACAGATGTGGCCAGGCTGAGGTGTTGAAAATCCTGACGGAGCCATTACTCAGCGGATCTGTATCCGTGACCTGTGTGAAGGGAGAGGTGGGGGTTACTCAGCGGATCTGGATTCGTGACCTGCGTGAAGAGAGAAGGTAGAGCAGCCTGAGGAGGAGGCGGGCGCCTGGCCTGTGCAGCTCTTCTCTCTGCTGAGGGGAAATACCTGCTTCCGTCAGTCCACTCATGGCTAAAAACATTCCTGTGTTACTCACGAAGACCTGGGGGAAATGACTAAAATAAGCCTTCTCACAGTGACCGAAAACACAGTGACGAGTTGCCATTTAATATTATAGTTAGAAGACTGAGGAGAAGGCTCAGAGAACTGGAGGCAAACTTTGCCTTAAGTTCCAGCACCACACGGACTCCTGAGCACTGCCAGGGGTGGTTCCAAAGCCCCACAAATAATAATCACTGATAGTATAAAATAAATAGCCCCTGCCTCTCTCATGGTTGCCTCGATTCCCCACTTCTTTCAGTTATGATACTAAATATGCTACAAAATCTATAAATACCATGGGTGGTGGTGGCCAGCCTAAAGAATTACTATTGGTCTCCAAAGAAAACATTGACCAACTCCTGCTTTAGAAGGCAAGCTTGTTTTAAGAAATGAAAATGTAATGAGGTAACTTGGGGAACTCTGTTCTTGGCTAATATCAGCTTTTCCTTTATTTTTACCACCCTCTTACACTGCAATATAGACAAAACTTCAAAAGCAAACCCGGGTGTCAATTTTCTGGCATTTAGGGGGACTGGGAAGCTACAGGAAAGGGTATTTGCTTCTCACTAAACAAAATTTGTGTGAGATCTCTTTTGAACACCACCAGCTCTTTTCCCTGAGTTCTCACTCCATCAGACCTGGCACATCCCCTCTCCACACCCGTCCTCGGATGATTTACGACAGTCAAGGCAAGAGGGGCCCCCCAAATCAAAATCCCTATTCAATGTCCCCTTCTTCCTTAAGTGTATCTCCCATCTGGGAGTGTGGAGAGGGAAGAGTTTGGGTCTGTTTATTTATTTATTTTTTAACAAATTTATTTATTTATTTTTATTTATTTATTTATTTGCTTTTTGGGTCACACCTGGCAATGCACAGGGGTTACTCCTGGCTCTGCACTCAGGAATTACTCCTGGTGGTGCTCAGGGGACCATATGGGATGCTGGGAATCAAACCCGGGTGGGCCGCGTGCAAGGCAAACGCCCTACCCGCTGTGCTATTGCTCCAGTCCCAACAAATTTATTTTTTATTTTTATTTTTTTTTATGATTTCCTTTCTTGCTTCTATTCTTTTTTTTTTTTTTTTTTTATTGAATCACCGTGGGAAAGGTTACAAAGCTTTCAGGTTTATGTCTCAGTCATGCAAATATCAAACACATTTCCCTTTACCAATACTTATTTTTTCCCATGAAGAACCCCAATAAAACCCCACCCCCCACCCCTCCCCGTCCCTGTGAGGCAGATGAATTCTAGTTAACACTCTATCCGCTTTGATTAGATTGTTTCAATAAAAGATTCACCACTATTATTTAGAGTTTACCCCCCCCCCAAATCAGACATGCTGAAAAAGCATTGTGAAGTGATTTGCTTTCTACAGCTGGGTTCAAGAATTAAATGTTGGTTTTGGATTTCTGCTATTTTACCTATTGACCCTGGAAGTATTTCTACTGAAAGTCAGATAGTTAAGAAATTGGTTTCTGTGTTCTGGAGTCGTGGCCGTGCTGGAGAGCCGCTCGTGGGGGGCAACTGGTGGCCTCGGTAGGGCGTGAAGGGCGGAGCGAAACGCCCCCCTTCCCTTGAGGTTTTAGTCGCCCCCACACTCCCGGCTCATACCTGCTGTCCACAAGGCTCCCATGTGGCCGCCATCTTTCTTTCCAGAGAGGAGAGGGCGAATGGGGCAACACCCTTTCCCCTCCGGCAGACTTGATGGGCTGGATCAACGCATAGTCCATTCACTTTTCTGCTCCAAGCTGCTGGGTTCTGCATTAAGTCCTTGTGCTTCTGGGGCCATGGCCGTGCTGGAGAGCCGCTCGCGGGGGGCGACTGGTGACCTCGGTAGGGCGTGAAGGACGGACCGGAACGCCCCCCGACCCATGAGGTTTTAGTCGCCCCCACTCCCCCGGCTCATACCTGCTGTCCACAAGGCTCCCATGTGGCCGCCATCTTTCTTTCCAGAGAGGAGAGGGCGAATGGGGCAACACCCTTTCCCCTCCGGCAGACTTGATGGCCTGCATCAATGCATAGTCCGTTCACTTTTCTGCTCCAAGCTGCTGGGTTCTGCATTAAGTCCTTGTGCTTCTAGGGCCGTGGCTGTGCTGGAGAGCCGCTCGTGGGGGGCAACTGGTGACCTCGGTAGGGCGTGAAGGACGGACCGGAACGCCCCCCTTCCCATGAAGTTTTAGTCGCCCCCACACCCCCGGCTCATACCTGCTGTCCACAAGGCTCCCATGTGGCCGCCATCTTTCTTTCCAGAGGGAGGAGGGCGGAAGGGAGCAACACCCTTTCCCCTCTGGGCAGAAATGATTGCCTGGATTAACGCATAGTCCTTTCACTTTTCTGCTCCAAGCTGCTGGGTTCTGCATTAAGCCCTTGTGCTTCTGGGGCTGTGGCCGTGCTGGAGAGCCGCTCGTGGGGGGCAACTGGTGACCTCGGTAGGGCGTGAAGGACGGACCGGAACGCCCCCCTTCCCATGAGGTTTTAGTCGCCCCCACACCCCCGGCTCATACCTGCTGTCCACAAGGCTCCCATGTGGCCGCCATCTTTCTTTCCAGAGAGGAGAGGGCGAATGGGGCAACACCCTTTCCCCTCCGGCAGACTTGATGGCCTGGGTCAATGCATAGTCCGTTCACTTTTCTGCTCCAAGCTGCTGGGTTCTGCATTAAGTCCTTGTGCTTCTGGGGCCGTGGCTGTGCTGGAGAGCCGCTCGTGGGGGGTGACTGGTGACCTCGGTAGGGCGTGAAGGACGGACCGGAACGCCCCCCTTCCCATGAGGTTTTAGTCGCCCCCACACCCCCGGCTCATACCTGCTGTCCACAAGGCTCCCATGTGGCCGCCATCTTTCTTTCCAGAGGGAGGAGGGCGGAAGGGAGCAACACCCTTTCCCCTCTGGGCAGAAATGATTGCCTGGATTAACGCATAGTCCTTTCACTTTTCTGCTCCAAGCTGCTGGGTTCTGCATTAAGCCCTTGTGCTTCTGGGGCTGTGGCCGTGCTGGAGAGCCGCTCGTGGGGGGCAACTGGTGACCTCGGTAGGGCGTGAAGGACGGACCGGAACGCCCCCCTTCCCATGAGGTTTTAGTCGCCCCCACACCCCCGGCTCATACCTGCTGTCCACAAGGCTCCCATGCGGCCGCCATCCTTCTTTCCAGTACAAATTTATTTTTTAACAATTTTTTTAACATTCCCCCGAATCCCTACAATGTTAAAACATTTTTAATCACTCATAAAAATTAGAAGACAGAAGAGTATCAGATAAATGGAAGCTACCAAAACCATCTGGGAAAACATACAAAACTCTCCTTGCAAAGGTCACTGTCACTGTCCTCCCGTTGTTCTTCGATTTGCTTGAGCAGGCCCAGTAACGTCTCTGTTGTGACACTTGTTACTATGTTTGGCATATCGAATACGTCACGGTTAGCTTGCCGGTCTTTGCTGTAGGAGTCAGATACTGTCAGTAGCTTGCTTGGCGGGCTCTCAGAGAGGGGCGGAAGAATCAAACCTGGGTCAGCCGGGTTTGCTGCGTGCAAGGCAAACGCTCTACCCACTGTGCTAGCGATCTCACCTAGGTGTATTGATTAATTCTATTTCTTCTCCACAGATGAGATAAATCCTGTTCAAATTCAGTAGGCTTAGATAAGACCCTTGTTCTCTATTCCTAATAAGTTTCCAAGTGAAAATTATACTATTCCTCACCAGGCATAACAAATGTAGATTCAGAATCTCACGTACATTCCTCCTTGTTGGCAAGGTCAGGGTTCTCAGAACTTCATAAAAAATGAACTCTTTCAAAATGAAGCAATTGCTAAAACTTATGCAAAAATTGGCCAGTTTCAAAGGTACTAAGATAATAACAGGATATCACAATCATGGGGTTTGGGGACAATCTCGTATCATCTTAGGCAGGGTGTCTAAAACTTAGGACCAGGGGCCACAAATAAGCATTTAAGAATTTCAAATCCCCAGGGATACAGTGTCCCCTGTTGCCCATGACTCAGAGCTAGCTGACTGCACTGGCATCAACATCATTGGCAGAGTGACCAGCAGAGGAGAAGCATGGAACTGAGTACTTATCTTGAGGGTGGGGGGTGGGGGTGTTTGGCAAAAAAACCCTTTTTGTTTCTTTAGAGCTGCACCTACTTCCTGGTGACCCATGGCTGAAACTTAGGTTAAGGAAACCTTTGTCACCCCCTCCCAACCCTCGTTTCCGGAGCAAGTGTGGGGCATTTCCAGCCCTGGTTGCTCTTTGAAAAAGCTTATTCTTGGAAGAAGGTGGAGTTCTAAAAACAGTGCCCTGGGGTTCTAAAAACAGTTTTCCACGGGTCCTGGGGGAAAAGAGGGCATGCACTGGTAAGAAGTATGTGGGAGCATCAAAAATAGAAAGAGTGCAGGAGTCCAAAAATGGGTGAAGTAAGGGACTCCATGTCAGGAGCAGAGGAAGCAAAAGGGTGTTCCCTGCCAGCTCGTGGCCCCAAGTCTTGTCCAAAATGTTCATTTGTTACCCAGTCAGGGTTTCAATATTGAAAGCCTTCCTCGGCCCCTTCAGAAATGGAGGGTGCAATGTGCTGTCTGTTCATCTGCAGGATATAGAAGCGCAATGACCAAAGGAATAAGCCCTCTGCACAGCTGAATTTGCTACTTCCTAGAAATAACAAATGAATATGTGTGCAGAGTTGTCACTCATGCCAACAGACTTGTAAAAACTGCATTCTAGTCCTGGAATTCAGCAGCCACGAGTGGTTTCTCAGGTGTGCCATGGCTACTCAATGCCAGGGAAAAGAGAATGACAGGTGGCAAAGGAGCGTCTGAGCCAGAAGTGGCCCTCTGTCATGCGACAGGCATTTTTAGACCTTGCAACGCCCCTCCTCACTCTCACCCCCACCTTACACCCAGCAATGCTCAGGGGTTACTCCTGGCTCTGCACTCAGGAATTACTCCTGGTGGTGCTCGGGGGACCCTATGGGATGCTGGGAACAGAACCCGGATGGGCCACGTGCAAGGCAAGTGCCCTAACTGCTGTACTATCGTTCCAGCCCCAGCCCCGAACATTCTTAATGGAGTTCTTAGCTGAAAGCAGCATCTTCCTCAGCGCCCCCCCCAAAATTAGGAAGCAGCCTCATGTCTTCTTGGGCTTTTCAAACAGCTCTGGAAGCCCGGAAGCAAGTTTTAAAAGGGATGTTCCTCGAGTCACTTAGGTCCCTTTATAGGGGCAGTTGAGTCTGTACACAGGAAATGTGCCCTGGGAGCTCTCAGCAACAACCCTACAATGCATGAAGCAAAAATGGATGGAACTGAAGAGAGAAATACAGGCCTCAGAAATAACAGTGGACCTGAGCTTTCCAGGGAGGGGCGTAGAAGGGGGGTTTGGAGGGGACCCTGAGACAATGGTGGAGGGAAGTGGACACTCTGGTGGAGGGTGTGGTACTAGAATGTTGTGTGCAAGAAATCCGATTGTGAACAAACAATATTGTAAATCACAGTGCTTCAAATTTAAAAACTAAGGTATTTAAAAAAAAATAATCAAGGAACTAGAGAGACACTGCAATGGGCTAAGCATAGGCTTGACAGGAGGAAGGTCTGGCTGGGCTCAATTCCTGGCACTGCCTGGTCCCTGAACACTGCTAGGAGTGACCCCCAAGCACTGAGCCAAGAATAATGCATAATCACCACAAGGAGTGGCCCCCAAACCAAAATAATAATACTTGATGAACCAGAGAGATAGTACAGGGATGAAGGCACTTTCCTGGCATATAGCAATCACCAGGAATGATCCCTGAGTCAGGATCTGGTAACCAAGCACAACCAGGTGTGACCCCCAAAAAGAAAAGAAAAAAAATAGAGTGAATGATAACTATAGTTGAGACCTCAGTTCCTCATTTTATTATTAATACATTATTATTATTTCCTTTGTTTTTGGGGGGCTATGCCTGGTGGTGCTCAGGGTTTACCGTACTCAGGGATCATCCTTGGTGGGGCTCAGAAGGCCATATGGGGTACCAGGGATCCACCCTGTGTTGACATGTGCCAGGTAAGAGCACTGCCCCCTGTACTTCTCCCGGCAGAAGATCAATAAGAAATAGGCAATGTTTGCAAAGCTATAGGCCAGCCAGACTTAGCAGTGTCAAGTGCACAGGGAACATTTTCTAGGCAAGAACACTGGCTAGAACAGAGGACGGGCCACTGAGTGTGATAGAATGAGGCTGGAGAGAAGGCACAGGGTTAAGGTACGTGCCTCACATGCCGTGACCCTGTCCGAGTCCCACGGGGTGAGCAGCACCACATTCTTGAGCCCTTGCACTGAACAGAACCCCCGATTGGCTGAGAATAGCTTGGGAGCACCACCCTACACCACACTGCCAATTTTAAAGGCTACATGGAAACCATACCAAGCATATTCTCTAAACACAATGGGATAGTACCAGACAACAGAAGACAATCTGAGTAATTCCTAACTATGTGACAATATAGCAACATACTCATAAAAATAGAATATATAAAAATCACAAGAAAACAATGAAAAACTTGAGAGTAATGGTAGGAAAATCCAAATGCCAAACCTATGGGATGCAGCTAAAGCCGTGTTTAGAAGAAAGTGGATAGTATAAATGCCTATATTTGATAGGTCGAAATTTCAAATCAACTACCTAACTTTGATGTGAAAAATATAAAAATCCAATTCAAAGTAAATAGAAGAAAGAAAATAAAGATTAGGACAGGAATGAAAGAAAGGTTAAATAGAAAAGCAATAGAAAAAATCACAAAATCCAACTTTAGTTCTACAAAATTATCAATAAAATAAACAAATCTTCAGTTCGACTGATCAAGGAAATTAGCAAGAAAGATCCAAATTATTAAAGTCAAGAAATTAAGAGGACATTACTGTGGAGTTCATGCCCAATTCAATCAGCTTAATCAATAGCTGAATAAATAGCAGTACTCCTACATTTAAAAAAAAAAGAAGATATTAAACTAATTTCAAGAAAAAAAAGAGAGTGTAATGAAGTATAATGACACAAATTAGATACCTAGAAGTAAAGAACCTATTCCTAGACAGAAATATAAAAATTGCTAAAACTTATACAAGAAGAAACAGAAAAACTGAATAGACTCACACCTATAAGAAATATTGAGCTAGTATTCCAAAATAGTCCCACCAGGAAAAGCTCAGGGGCATAAGGCTTTATGGGTGACTTATAATAAACAACAAAGATGAACTAATAGTCTTTCACAAACTCTTCCAAGAAATAGAAGAGGAAGGAACACTTCCCAGTTCAGTCCTATAAGCCAGTATGAATCTGACACAGAGTGCAGAAAGAGCTAACACAGGAAAACAACTGAGCCCCGTCCCTTACTGACATGAAGTTCTTAGGGAGCGGTAATGTTTGTGCAACTCTGTGAATCTACTGCAAACCACCAACCAGCATACTTCCAATGGGTAAAGATGGTGGCAAGAGAAACAGATCTCAACAAAAGCTCCTAAAACAAGCATTTTCCCCAGGAATTTGTAGACAGAATAAGAATTCCTCATACTTATCAGTACTTGGAAGGTTTGCAAATGAAGTTGGACAAGAATTAAGCAAGGGTTACGGGTGGCAAGGGGAGGATAGAGGCTATTTTGGGGATGACCCATGTTTTCACTCCTCAGAGAAGGAACATCTGTCAGACAAGAGTGGGAGGCAAGAAGTCCAGAAAGGCTAAAATGTAGAATATTAAAAAATCCACTGACTGTGAGTACATTAAACTAGAGGGAAGTCACTTCTTTCAGTTGGGCTGGCAGGACTGGCCTGGTCAAGTGACCACGTTTTCAACTAATAAGACCAGATGTTCATGAGGCTAAAAACCAATTTCTGACACTAATGTATGATACAAAAAGTACAACGCAGAATGCCATCATGTCGTCAGCCAATGATTCACATTTTCAATGACCTCTCCGGCATGCAAGGGTTCTCGGGAGACAGGAGTGAAGGGTCTGAAGCCCTCTGTTGGGCAGGAAAGATTCCAGAACTTTAATCCGACCCAACCTCTCACTGGCTATGTGGGAAATCAGTAACAGGCGGTATAGCTACCTTTCCCCTCTACTCCCGTGAGAAAAACAGAGAAAGGTCTACATTATTTTAATTAACTAATTCATTAATTTGGGGGTGAGGGAGTTGGACTACACTCAGCGGTGCTCAGGGCTTACTCGTGGCTCTGCTAAGAGACACCCCTGGTGGAGTTCTGGGGATTATATGGGGTGCTGGGGATTGAACCAGATCAGTTGCATGAAAGATAAATGATATATCTGTTGTTTGATATCTGCAGCCTTATTTTGTTTTGATTTTCACTTGGGTCTTCCCAAGTGGTACTCTGGAGGCCCCAGACTCCTCCTGGTTCAATCTGAAGTCACCCAGATATTGCGCTGCTCAGGTACAATAGTGCTAGGGAAGACCTGGGCCACCCAAAGATGACTAGGGCGCCCCACAGTGCTTAAAGGACCATGTGGCAAGGAGACTGAACAGGGGTTGGCCAAAGGTAGGCGCCTTAACCCCTGGTTCTACCTCTCTGAGCCTGTGCCCTGCAGCTTTTCCTGGAGCCATGGGATACGGTGGTTCTTTCAGTGTGAAAGATGGCCTAGCTCATGATTGTTTGTCTGTCTTTCCTGACCACCAGCCTCAGGGGAGAAAGGCTGGGAACCACCGGGCAGCCTCAACTCCTGGCCACAAGCCAATCTTAATTTGGAGACGTGTTTTTGTACCTTAACTATGTATAACCCCGGCTTGCACTCTCAATTCGTGTTCTTCCTTGCACATGCATCTCTCTCTGCTTGCTTTTCCACTCTGGAGAAGCCCGTGTTCTCTCTTGAACACACATTCCTTTCTTTCTCTCCCCTCATGCCTTTCTAAGTAAATTTCATTCAATAATGATGATCTTGCATCACTAAAAAAAAAAAAAAAAGAATGTTTCTCATCTCATGAAGAACATTCTACATGGGTCGCAGTTTTCTTTTATCACTGGGTCCTGCACAAAAAAAGAAGCAGAATCCAGAGCTATACAGGACACAGGCTGGGCAGCCACCGAGCAGGAAGCAGGTGAGTGGAGTGTGAATGTGTGAATGGAGATGCTGAATGCCTTCAGCATCCATCCTCCCGGGTGGAGTAAAGGCAGGGAGGCCTCCAGAGAGCCCCCTCTACTCCGAGACTTACCTGGATGCTGCAGTTCCTAAGCGGGGAGAAGCCATCAAAGCCTGGGACCCAGGAGATCAGGATGCTGTGTGCAGTGCTGTTGTAGACATTGACTTCACTTGGCGGGGAGGGAATTGCTATGTAAGTGACAAAGACACACAACCCGGTTATAAGCCACGGGAGGCCATGGCAATTCAGCCAACACTTGCGTAGCAAGTCTGTTTTCTATTCTGAAGAGTGGGGAAAATAAACATGCATTTGGAAGAGAAGCATCTGGAGGAGAAGCAGTGGGGGACAGCATTAGTCTTCCGTGCACGAGTGAGCCTGGGGAGTCAGAGAGGTTGTCCCTCCTTGGCGCCCTGCTCCCGGCGGCAGCTGCCTGCTGTTCAGGCGACAGCACTGGGCGCTGGTGCTTCAGATAGAGGCAGGGGCCCTGCCTTGGTGCTGAATGGGCGGGGACCACAAAGTCTGGGAGCCAGAGCATCCTGTGCCAAGAAGAGAAGATTCCAGGAGGGCCTGTAAACACTGTGTGTGTGTGCGCAGGCGCGTAAACTAGGAGTGTTCTCAGACCAAGGAAAATAGTGAGGCCAGAGAGAAAAAATGGGGCGAAGGCATTTGTCTTACACGTATTTGACTCTGGTTTGATCCCCAGTGCCACATAGCCAGAGCACCACCACCACGTGTGAACCAAAAATCCAAACTCCCCCCACCCAACAGGTGAGAGTCAGTTCAAGCAAAGGACTCATCTATTTGCTTGGCATGGGAGAGGCAGGAGGATGTGAGGCCACAAAGAGTGTGCAATGATCCCCAATAGAACCCTGAAATGGCTGTGTGACTGTGGACAGGCCTTTCAATTAGAATTGAAGAGAGATTTGAAATGTGAGGCTATTATTTCCTGATGCGAAGCTTGATTCTTTAGTTAATAGCCATAGTCACACAAAAATGATGACTCAAAGCATTCAAGCTGGAGAGATAACCCAATGGGCTGAGTGCAAACTTTGCACGTGGGATGCCTGGGTTTGATCCCTAGCCCATGCACAGCCAAGGGTCAAGCACTGCGCAAAGCCAGGAGTAGTCCCTGAGCACCTGCAGTGTGGCCTCAAAACAAACAAACAAAAAAACAAAAAAACTAAAGAAAGATGAGTGCTGTTTTTGAGAACTTGCTCTGTGCTGGAGCTCAGTGGATTTTATTTCCCGATTACTCTATAGGCTGACCAGAGGATGGAAGCTTGAAGCCAGGGTCTGCCTCACCTGGGAGTTCTGATCCTGCTAACAGGACTCGGGGGCAAGCAAGCAAAGCAACAAGGGACCAGGGAGTCCAGTCACTGCCTGTCCAGTTCAATGCCCTCTCTAAACCCAGATCCTCTGCAGTGACAGGGCAGCACCAGCACTGCTTCATGGCACAGCAGAGGGCTGGACGGGTCACACATGGAAGAGGCCTGGGGAGGAGGGCAGGGGAGAGGAGGAGGGTGAGCAGGGGAGAGGGGAGGATGCAGGTGAGGGGGATTAGGGGAGAGGGCAGAGAAGTGGGCAGGGGAGAGGGGAGGAGGTATGGGTGGAGAAGAGGAGGGGTGGGCAGGGAGAGGAGAAGAATGGAGGGGAGGGGGATTATAGGGAAGAGGGGAGGGGAGGGGAGGTGGGCAGGGGAGAGGAGAGGAGGGGACAGGCAAGACAGAGACAAGGGAGAGCAGAATCCAGGGCAAGAGTGCCCGGCGTATTGAGCACCAAGTTAGGCCAGTAATAACAGAGACTTCCTCAGTGACTAGGAAAGAACCAGCCTCCGTTTGACTCATTTCCCTGAATAGATTGCCTGTACAATGGCCCCTGGCTCCTGCCTTTCAGATCAAACTTGGGTCACACACTGGAGAGTTACTAATAGATTTAGAAAAAGGGACTCCTGGTGGCTTGGGCACAGCATTTTAGGAAGTGACATCTCGAAATGGGATTGACTGAAAAGGAAACCTTCGTTGAGCTTTTGGGTGCAGGCCAAAATTAGAGAGGGTCTTTGAAGGATTGTTACATTTAGAGATATTTACGCATGAGAAGAGAGTCTGTACCAATGTGTACCCATTGGTGGATTCCTGAAATTCCCAGCATTTCTTTTGGAAATTGTAATAATGGGATGGGTAATGAAGGAAGGAAGTTATATAGTTCCTCCATTAATAACTTTCAATCTGCTTTTTTTTTTTTGGTCCGGTGTTGAAGCTGGAATCCTGGGCTTCATACCCGAGGAAAGTGCTCTACCATGACTCATATCCTGGTCATTGCTTTGCTCATTTTTGCCCTCCAATGAACTTTTATTTTATCTATTTATTTATTGTTTGTCTGCTTGGGTGGTGTTCTGTGCTCAGCGATTACTCCTGGCAGGCTTGGGGGACCACATGGGGTGCCAGGGATGAAACCCAGATAGGCCGCGTCAAGGCAAGTGCTCTACCCACTATATTATAACTCTGGCACTCCGATGAATCTTGAGAAAACACCTTCTCATAGTCTGCAGCTAACCGACCTACTAACCCTAAGCATTCACAACCTTTTATCCATAAACTTCTTTCATAATTTTTTTTTTTTTTACTTTTGGGTCACACCTGGCGATGTACAGGGGTTGTTCCTGGCTCTACACACAGGAATTACTCTTGGCAGTACTCAGGGGACCATATGAGATGCTGGAAATTGAATGTGGGTCGGTTGCGTGCAAGGCAAACGCCCTACCCGCTGTGCTATCGCTCCAGCCCCTTCTTTTGTAATTTGAGATTCCTACTCAACATGATCCAGCCTTTCATTCAAACATGTTCTGCTCTCCCCCTTTATATTATTTCCCCAAGGATAAAAGCAAAAGCAATATACATTCAAGATGTGTTTCTCAATACATAAATACTCATATACAAACACTCAAAAAGAAAAAGCCTGCTTGGAGGTGGGGAAGTAGCACAGTGTTCAAGTGCAGGTTTTGTGTGTTGGAGGTCCTGGATTAAGTACCACCCACACTTTTTCCTCTTGAATTTCTGTGAGAGGATAAGGATGACGAAAGGAAAAGATGATATTTACTTTTAAGGTTTTTTTTTTTTCCTTTCCAAATATTTTTGAGGGATGGGGGCACACCAGCAGTGCTCAGGGCTGACTCCTGGCTCTGTGTTCAGGGATTCCTTGTGGCAGAGCTCAGACGACTCTATGGGATACTGCGAATTGACTGGCTCAAAGTAAAAGGAGGAAAAATCAAAGTGATAAAAACCCAAGCAGCTTGCATAATCTGCGTGTGCCAGCAGGCGCGTTGAGTTTTTATTCCCATGATCTAATTTTCCGCATTTCATCATAGAATCAGTGTGCTTTTTTTTTTTCCTCTTTGGGTCATACCAGGTGATGTACAGGGGTTCCTCCTGGCTCTGCACTCAGTAATTACTCCTGGTGGTGCTCAGGGGACCATATGGAATGCTGGGAATCAAATCCAGGACAGCCGCGTGCAAGGCAAAATGCACTCGTTGTGCTATTGCTTCAGCCCCCATAGAATCAGTGTTGCAGCAGTCCTGTGATACTGATACCATTGTTTTTGTTTGTGTTGGGGCTGGAGAGAGAGTACAGGGGATTGAGGCTGCATGTGGTCCACTCCTGTTCAATCCCCAGCACCACATGTTCCCCAGAGTACCAGCAAATGTGGTCCTGGAGTTCCCCCATCCCCGAACAGTATTAAACAAGGCATCCTTGAACCTTTGTGTGCACCACTTGAGGGGCCCTCCCCCCAAAAAACTAAACTTCACAAAATTATCACATTCTATTTTTTTGCAAAAAAAAAAAATCCCCTTGGCCCCAAACCTGTGATAATTGTGTAGTGAAATATACTAAGCCTAAACAAAGGTAACTTCTTATTTAAAAAAAAAAATCAATTTTATTTTTCTTTTGGCTTTTTGGGTCACACCCAGCAATGCTCTGTGCTCAAGAATTACTCCTAGCAGTGCTCAGGGACCACATGGGATGCTGGGGATAGAACCCAGGTAGGCTGTGCACAAGACAAACACCCTCCCCGCTGTGCTATCACTCGGGTCTACAAAGTAACTTCTGTAATGATTGATCCCTCATGCAGAGGGAAACTCCAATGGCAGAAAGGTAAAGTGACTCATCCAAGGTGACAAAGGAGCCTGTGGGGAAGCCAGGGCTTAACTCAAGGCCACTAAGAACAGGCTCAGGTGGGGGCCCTTCACCAGCCCCCAGAGCACACTGGAGGGTGCTAGCCCACCACTCACCTTTGATGTTGATCTGCACCCCTTTGGACACCGTCAGCCCTTTGTCATTGTGGGCTTCGCAGCTGAAGATGGCTGCCTCGCTGAGACCTGCATGGGGAGAGGAGCAGGAGAACACTAAGAAAAATTTTTAAATTTTAAAAATTTTAAAAATTTAAAAAAAAATTTAAAGAGTACAGCAGATAGGGCATTAGCCTTGCACACAGTTGACCTGCGTTCAATCCTGACATCTCATATAGTTCCCCGAGCACCACCGGGAGTAATTCCTGAGTGCTCGGTCAGGAGTGACCCCTGAGCACTGCCAGGTGTGACCCCCCCCACTGCTGCAGAAAAAAAAGAAAAAAGGAGACATTTATATTAAATGAAAAAAGGCTGTTGTTTCAGAAGTTTAAAGACATTTAAACATAGAGATAAATATGTCAATTCATTCATTTTCAGTAGAAAGAAAGATAATTTTTGATTTCCAATTTCATTCTCCAATAATAGGAAGCAGAATGCCTAGAAAAAAAAATAAGTGACTCAGATTTGAACAGGGCATAGATGAATTAAGCTTGGAACAAAGCATTACACAAACAAAATCATGCACATATGCAGATTGATGGGATGGAAGTATGACAAAACAGAAGTCAACAGAAAGCATAATGGCCAAAGCTGGAGTAATCAGAGCAAGAAAGTAAATGAAGGACTAGCAGACTGTAGCCCAAAATGTTAATAAATATCCATGAGTCTTTATTGATATCAGTGCTGGTTGAATACATGGAGGAGGATAGGCAGAGAATTTCAAATAAATGATACGGGTTTATCAACTCCACAGTGGGTGGGGGATAATTCCCAAGGCCTTACTCATGGACAGTGCAGAGTACCTTCTGTTCAAAGAGGACAATCCAGAAAGGTAAGTGTCCAAGCGGGGAAACTGACAACACTACTTCCACCAGACAATAAAGTCAACACCAGCAGTGACCAGTAATGAGAACAGAAAGCATTCTCCACATAATGTCGAGTAAATGGCAACCCCGCTCTCCAGCCTTCCAAAAACACAGAGCCCAAGCTTAATTGTGAGAAGGACAAGAGACAGCAGAGACTCCAAGTTGTGGAGTATTTGCACTGTGAAGCAATACAAAACAACAAAGCACAGCCTCCAAAGTCACAAAGTTCTTTCCAAAACTATCGAACAATCAAGAGTTTGAGAAACTGGCACCACTAAAAAGGCTATGAAAAGGGCTGGCATGGTAGCAGAGCAGGTTGGGCATTTGCATGTGGCCAACCCGGGTTCGATTCCCAGCATCCCATATGGTCCCCCCAAGCACTGCCAGGAGTGATTCCTGAGTGCAAGCCAGGAGTAACCCCTGTGCATTGCTGGGTGTGACCCAAAAAGAATAAATAAATAAATAAATAAATAAATAAAAAGAGACTATGAAGACATGGCAACTATATCTTGGATGAAATGCTAGAGACAGTAAAAGGATACGAGGTAAGAAGTTAGGCAGTCACAATAAAGTTTGAACTTTTTTTAATAAGAATGTACGGTCCATTAATTATAACAAATACACCACATAATTAATAAAAGGAGAAAGTGTAGGGGCCGGGGTGATAGTATAGCAGGTCCAGGGCATTTGCATACGGATGACCTGGGTTCAATCCCCAGCACTCCATATGGTCTCCCAAATCCTCCCTGGAGTAATCTCTGAGCACAGAGCCAGGAGTAAGATCTGAGCATTCCCAGGTGTGGTCCTAAAACAAGCAGTGAGGGAGGAAGAGAGAGAGAGAGAGAGAGAGAGAGAGAGAGAGAGAGAGAGAGAGAGAGAGAAAGAGAGACCAGGGGGCTTTGGGAATACTCGGCATTAATTTTACAGTGTCTCCATAAATATAGCACTGTAGCACTGTCCTCCCACTGTTCATCAATTTGCTTGAGCAGGCACCAGTAAGGTCTTCATTGTGAGACTTGTTGTTACTGTGTTTGGCATATCAAATACGTCACGGGTAGCTTGCCAGGCTTTGCTGTGTGGGCGAGATACTCTCGGTAGTTTGCCGGGCTCTCCGAGAGGGCCGGAGGAATAGAACCCGGGTTGGCAGTGTGCAAGGCAAATGCCTTACCCACTGTGCTATCACTCCAGCCCTCCATAAATATAAAACTATTAAATTTTTGTCTTTATTAGTTAAAAATATTCTTATTATAGTTGTGGTTACATGATTGCAATAGTATTGATGTTTATGGCTTTGATGTACAACGTTACTACACCCCACCATGACAAAAGCACCCAAGGCCCCCACCACTGTCCCCATGTTGCCTCTAGTCCCCCTCATTATTCCCCATTTCCTCCCCACACGGCTTGGTAATCTTAGTTATGTAATCCAAGGCCAAGTACTTGTCATCGGTTGACACTGTTTGTCCCCTTGTTTGTTTTTCTACAAACCGCAGATGAGTGAGATCTAAGGCTATTTTTAAAAAGTATTGCTCAGAGCAGGAGAGAGTATACGTGGGTAGGTGCCATGCATGTAGCCAACCCCAGTTCATACCCCAGCACCGTATGTAGTTTCCCGGACACCACCACAGGTCTCTCCTGAGCACAGAGCCAAGAATAGTGCCAGAGCACCACCAGGTGTAGCTTAAATAACCAACAACCACTCCCTGGAAACGGAACAGGCCAGAGTCAGGGCACTGCCTTGCGGGACAGCCCCAAAATGTGATGAACACAATTCCCAGCACCAACACACGTGCCAAGTGCGGTCCCAGTGGCACTACTGCTTGGGACTCCCAGTGCCAGAAAAGGTCATGCTGTTTCTACTGTACCACCCAGGGTGAACAGACTCCCCTCCCTGTCTCCACACCTCCCACCCCCTACCCCAATCACTGCAACAATAAAGAGAAGAAAAGTGGAATAAAAAAAAAAGTACAGGGCATATATGAGTATAGACTCTATGCGTCTATCAGTTAAATTGAGAAATTCTCTGTCTCTGTGGCCGTAGATGTCACTGGACCCACAGCTCACATCACATGCTGGAGAGATAGTTAAGTAGATAAAATTCTTGGAAATGCGCCACCTTTTGCTTCTTGCCTGAAACACTTGTTTTTGTCTACTCATCTACTTGTGTAGGAAATTTCCCATCTGATGTTTTGAAAGTTCAAAGCTTGTTGTTAACAGAGTAGTTAAATATTTGAAAAGTCCAGGAGGAGCCAGAATCTGAGTGAAGCCAGTCAGGTGTCAACCGAGTCTGGCTGTGCCACGTGGGATGCCTGTGTGGAAAAACTGTGCCAGGGCTGGGAAGCTCAGCCCGGGACCCAGGCCTGGGAGGAATTCTAGAGAGAAAAAATGCAAATCTGATCCATTTCATGCTGGCACTTTTCCTGGTATATCGCATGTGCCCAGAAAACTAGTGCTGATGAGATTTTGTTCTTTTCCATCTAGATTGAGGTTGGCCTTCTGCTGCTTCAAAGGGAAAAAAGAACCTCCACATCCAGCTGTCCCAGCTCTGCAGCAGCCTTTATTTCTCTAGAAGAACATTATGTGAGTATATGCAAGAGACTGTGGGTGTTTTAATTTTCCTTTTTTTCCTTTTGGCTTTTGGGCCACATCTAGCAGTGCTCAGGACTTACTCCTGGCTTTGTGCTTAAAGATCTTTCTTAGAGAAAACAAAAGGGAATGCCCCGCCACAGGGGTGGGGTGGGATGGGGGGAATGGGGGGTTGGGAGGGATACTGGAAGCATTGGAGGTAGAAAATGGGCACTGGTGGAGGGATGGGTACTCAATCATTGTATAACTGAAACCCAAGCACAAAAAATTGTAAGTCTAAAACTGTACCTCATGGTGTTTCACTAATAAAATTTTTTTAAAAAGAAATAAAATTCAAGCATTATTATGTTATTTAATAGATAAAAAAAAGATCTTTCTTAGCAGGCTCAGTGGACCATATGGAGTTTTGGGATTGAACCTGGGTCAGCAGTGCCAAGCAAAAACCCTACTTGCTATGTTTTGGGACCCAGGTTTTAAAATTTTTTTTGGGGGGGGGATGTCACACCTAGTGATACTCAGGGGTTACTCCTGGCTCTGCATTCAGGAATTGCTTCTGGCAGTGCTCAGGGGACCATATGGGATGCCAGGGATTAGAACCAAGGTTTACCATGTGCAAGGCAAATGCTCTACCCGCTGTATCGCTCTGGCTCCTGTTTTAAGTTTTTAAGGTGAGAAGTAATTCCCTCAGTGTGGAGGGAAATATGCTGGACTGTTGAAGTAAATTCTTTGGACAATTTCAAGCGCTAAGAGATTAAAATTCTAGGTTGGTGCCATCCCTCTTCAAGTCTCAGTCATTTCCCCTCAAGTGAGAGCTGAATGCAGGCCGCATACCCATGTCGTGACCAGAGAACACGTATTTCACTGAAAGGAACATGTATCAGGCCACAGTTCCATGGGTGAACTTCACAGCAACTTCAGGAGTCGGTGTGGCTAAGGAGCATTCCTCCCAAAGAATGGTGTGTAGCGTCTCATGCATTTTAAAGTTTGCACCTTTAAAATCTTTATACTCGGGGCTGGAGAGATAGCACAGCGGGTAGGGCGTTTGCCTTGCACGTGGCCGACCCGGGTTCAATTCCCAGCATCCCATATGGTCCCCTGAGTACCGCCAGGAGTAACTCCTGAGTGCAGAGCCAGGAGTAACCCCTGTGCATCGCCAGGTGTGACCCCAAAAAAGCAAAAAATAAATAAATAAAAAATAAAATAAATAAAATCTTTATACTTTAGGGTCCAGAGAGATAGTACAGTGGGTAAAGCATTTGCCTTGCATGCAGTATACTCAGGTTTGATTCCTCCACCCCGTAGAGCCCTCTGGACCTGCCACGAGTGATTCTGGAATGCAGTGCCAGTAAGCCCTGAGCACTGCTGAGGGTAACCCAAAGCCCCACGGAAAAAAATCGTTATACTTTAAATCACTACCAAAAAAAAAAAAAAAAAGCAATTTCAGGTACCCTGAATGGCTTGATTGTTTTATTGCCTTTGCTTGTACTCAGGGCTTATTCCTGGCTTGGTGCTCAGGGATCACCCCTGGTGGTGCTTAGGAGACCATATATGATGCCAGGAATCAAACCTAGGTTTGCT